GAAAAGGAAGAAAAATCAAAAAGATGTTGAAAAGGAAGAAAAATCAAAAAGATGTTGAAAAGGAAGAAAAATCAAAAAGATGTTGAAAAGGAAGAAAAATCAAAAAGATGTTGAAAAGGAAGAAAAATCAAAAAGATTTTCGAAAAGGAGGAAAAAATAAAAAAGAGGTTGAAAAGGAAGTGAAATCAAAAAGATGAAAATGGATCGTATTATGATTTTATGATTTTCTTTTTAATTTTTGAAATCTAAGTGGAATATTCTAGTACGAAAACTTGACCTCGCCCCCCAACTTTTTCGACAGAGGAAATATTCCTAAGAACACATTAAAGCGATACGCGGGAAGGTTTAGTTGCGCAAATTCAAAAGAACATACCATTAATATCTGGCCTCCAGATGCAAATATGCAAATTACATCGGTTGTTACATTATAGATACAAAGGAAAGAATAAAATAATCTATCACGTCGTTTAAACTCGAGACGAAGGGATCGCTAGAGTTGCCAAAATAATTAAGCTTATTTTACATGGGATTATACGATTTGTAAAGTATCTTTAAAAATCGTTATTTCAGAAAAAAAAGCCATGAATTCATGCTGTGTAGTTGAAAAAATTATATCCGACCTCAATTAAATGTCAAGGTATTATATTAAAATCAAACATTATTATTTGAAGAAAATGTCTTTCAACTTGGATTTTGCATAATAAAAAAATCTCTATGACGTAAATATTTTCTGTCCCTAAATTCTATGCCTCAGAGTTAAATTGCTGTCTTTTAAATTTAATTTCTTTAAAATAGCTTTTTTCCCCCTGAAATTCATATTGCAATGGACTTTCTTCTTTTTTTTACCAATGTGATTTTTAAAAGGAAATAAGTAATTATTTCATTTATAAACCATAAGGAAATATACTTACATTAAATCTTTGAAACCATTGTGTATCAGATTTCAGCTCGTCTTTGTATCTTTCTTAATCCAGGATTAAAACGTTTTAGATTCTGTACCACCATTTATGAACCAATCCTGCATGACCCATTCTATGAAATTACTTCTTTGGTCACATCAAAATCCATCCTCGTTCTCTCACATACGTGCCATCGCCTCTCTCTGTCTTTTATATAAATACTTTCATGGTAACTGCTCCGATGAGCTGCTTTCGCTGGTTCCCAGACTTCATGAATTTAAGCGTTCAACTAGGCTGGTATCTCGCTCTCACCCTTTCACTGTCGAAACTGTTAAATGTATCCGTCTCTTCTACTCCAATAGCTACATGTCTCGCACCTCTCGCCTGTGGAACTCTCTCCCCATTCCTTGTTTCCCTGATAGCTATAATCTCCAACTATTCAAATGTAATGTCAATCGACGTCTCCAGATGCCTTGATCTATCTCTTATCCTTCTCTTCATCCTTTCCTCTATCACTCTTATTTGCTCTAGCTCTCTCTGTAACCCCTTGCGTGCTAGTGGCTTCCCGCCTTCCTTGGAAAATAAAGAAATTCTGTTTGACAGGAATTTTATTTTATGGTTCTAAACATTTACGACTCATTTTTTTTTTTTAAATTTGCTAGATTTCTTCATGGAAGGAAACATATGCTGTTAGATTTTAAGTGGAGAGTTAATAAACTTACTTTATTTTTGTAAAGTAAGACAAAGTCAAAATAATTATTTGAAAATAGCTGAACCCTGACATGTGCTACCACACCGGGTCAGGGTGAACCTGGGAACACCAGCAATTAAGACCTCCTGATAAAAGGTCTTGCTGCCAGATGTAGTTTATCGTCATATCCAGGATGGGTTAAAAATTTGAGCTTATCAGCTTTAACAAAATATTGGAATAACGATCATAAATATAAATGCTGGTCGTTATTTTAAGAAGTGGGTACAAATGAAAAGATTTAAATGTGACAATATTTTACCTTTCACTATATTGCATTCGTTCTTTCTTTTTTCTTTCATCCATCCATTCATTCATTTATTCATTCATCAAGTAATGCTTTTCCTTTTTTCCACGCGATCAAAACGGAATAGTCCATTATTTATGGTGTATTGGCAGGACGTAATGGTCGTGCGAACTAACGCAGGGAGGCACACGAACAATTATCATATGATACTGTAGAGTTGTATGAATGATATCCAACCTATTAATTAGATATTCAATTGCAATTATGTCTTTTTTGTCACGTTATATTAAAAGTCTACTGTTATTTGAAGAAAACACCTTTCGACTTTTATTTTCTAAAAGTCAAAAGATTCAGCATGCACAGAAACTTTATTTCCTTATTTATATTTATTTATTTAACCTTATATTTTTCCTTAGGTCTTGTACAGAAACGATTTCTTTTGACCTTTTAAATATGGAGCTTTAAAAATGTCAAATAGACTAGATTTTTTTACGCTACTGTGTCTCCATTTTAATGAACTTTAAGGACAGTCTTTAAATATTTGTCCACAAATTCATTCAGTCCTAAATGTACCATTCTGTTCCATTACCTCTTGCCATCTTTCAGACTGGTTCATGATTCCGTCCTCCCAGAACTTGGCATCTTTCTGGGTGATAAAATGGTCTGGATTTTACAGACTTCCAGAGAACTGAATTATTCTTATTAATCCCTTCCCTGCCAATGATTTTGGGAAAAAATTTTCATTTTCAGACGAATTTGGCTATTTGCTTTTAATATAGTAACTAAGAAATTGAACCATCTTGAAGCGCCCGAGCGGTGGCTAGCTCCTCTACCAGACGTATGAGTTGACAATTGGACTTGTTAAAAGCTCAGCATGGCATAAAAAGGATGAAGATCGACGTACAAAAACGTCTGCAGCTGGTTTGAGAACATTTCTGAAAAAAGACATTTTCGATAAAAGAAAAACGTATATACACGTCTACGCCGTGGAAGAGGTTAACAGAATTTTGTAATGTGCGAAATCAGTGGTAATCTAAAAGTGCAAGGCCAGTGGAGGAGGGAGTACGACAGGTGTAGTAGGGCATTGCAGTCAAATTGTAACAATTTCTGATTGGTCTATAAAGAGATGTCTTGATGGAAGACCTTCTGATTGGTCAATTTTAGCCGCTTTTCATCAGTTACTGCCTTTTAATCGACCCAACAAGGAAGGATTCAACGCCTGATTTTGCAAAAGGAGTTCGTAATACGCAACCCGCTTCCATTCCCACTCAGTATCATTTTCTTCAGATGCAAACAGCGTTTTGAAATGATTAACCGTAGCTCATTTCGGTTTCCCTAGGACATTTTCCCCTCCACATTGTTGTAAACAATTCATTTTTCATCGCCTACGAGCATTTTTTTTTTGTAAAAAAATGTGTCGTTTCTTTGCGTTTGAGCAGAGAATCACGGAGGGAAAGGCATGACATTGATATTTTTTTCGTTATATTGTGAAGCACCCAAACATCGGATCGATTCACGTATCCATTTACTTTCAAATGCTTTTCAACGTTCATATAAGATATGTAGAGCAACTCTGCGACGTATCCGTGTCATATATATATATATATATATATATATATATATATATATATATATAAGCATTTTCACCCCAAACGAGGGGCGAGTACCACTACCACGCAAGGGGTTTCATAAATTAGGAGCAGGAGTAAAGAAGCGTGTTTGAGGAAAGAATAAAAAGAAAGACGGGGATCAGGATCATGGCATCAGAAAATGTCGATTGACATTATATTTTTAAAAGTTATATAGGGAGGTGGTTTTACTGACGGGAAGTGCGTGAAAAAAGAAGCAAGTAGGAGGTTACATTTAAATATTTCGACAGTGAAAATTGGGACCGAGATACCAAAGAAGCTAAATTCATACTGTTTGAGAAGTGAAAGCATCGGTTACATTTAAATACTTTCGAAAAAACAGTGAAAGGGTGGGTCTGTGAGAAAGATGGACGAATGCCAGGTTAGGATCTATATATCAGTCTTTAGACTTTAAATGCCACTACTGTTTGAGAACCAGTAAAAAGATTAATCTCGTAGAAGGAAAGGGATTGATCAAGGCATGAAAATGTCGATTGACATTACATTTGAATACTTGAAGATTATAGCTATCAGAGAATCAAGTAGAAGGAAGGGAGTTTCACTGGCGGGAAGTGCGAGAGAAGAAGCTGTTGGAGTAGAAGTGACGACTACATTTAATTGTTTCGACAGTGAAAGGATGGGACCGAAAGGCCAACCTAGTAGCATGCTTAAATTCATGCAGATGGGATACCAGTAAAAGCAGCTCGTCGAAGCAGTTGCCACGAAAATATTTGTAGAAAAAACAGAGGGAAGCCACATCACGTCTGTGAGAAAGTGACTGTAGACGAGATGCCAGATCAGGACTTATCACATTGCATATCAGTCTCTGGATTTTGTCGAGGACCTTGAGATGAACAGTGGGGGCACTAGACTGTATATGGCAATAGTATTCAATGCAAGGGCGAATTGTACATATGGTAAGGATTATTTTAATCGACGTTTCGATTTGATAATAACCAATGATTACAGTCTTGCTGCAATATTATCGGACTCCCAGAACAAAATATCTACTTCTGAGCCTCGCGGACCACTTACAAACAATGTACTTAGCTATGGTACCATCACTATAAACAACACTTACTTTTTTGCTGTTTATATAACTTTTTTTTTTCCGGAAGTAGCAGAGCAGTAAATGGGGGGAGGAATATATCACATTTTCCTCTCTCTTCACGTTTATCATAAAAACATTTACAATTAAAAATCCGCACATAGACTATATAGAAATATGCCTTAAAATAACAATTTTCGGTATATGTGATAAAATAAAGTCACGTGTTAAAAGAAATCACATGTTTAAACGCTGTCTATTAAAAAAAAGCGCCCAACACTTTTGTTCCAACCCAATATAGGAAGCACAAAAAAACCATGACTACGAATAAAGCGGTAAGTAAGCATCTAAAACCCGGTCAACGCGTGCCTAAAAGCCTGGATGCAAGTTTGCTATCAGCATCGCATTGTGAGCAAGCTTTTAGATTGAC